CCGCGACTATGTAGATGAGCGGCCTAAACGGGCATATCAGACCGGAACAACTTGTCTAAAACATTTTCGTAATTCGATTTTTAGTGTGAACGATTTCAGCCACTGCAGGCAAACGACAAAAAGAAGAGCGAGTGGGCGCGTAGACGTCACATGCGCGCGCAAGCAACACTTCGGCATAGGCCTTACGGGTCCGCAGGTTGCTTCCCCCGCACTTTTGAGCCGCAAAAAGGGAACATCCTCGTTGGCTGCGGATGTAGCTCGTGACATCCGGAACGAGGAATCTGGCACAAACCAGCACTGCACCCCAGTAGGACCTGGCTCCAAGAGAGCTGGGTCCTGCTGCGAATCACCCCATTCGTGGAACCTCTTCTGCCGCTTTCGAGCTGGATCGGATGGACACTCATTACTCACCTACGCGGGAAGGGGGTCAATCACTCACCTCGATTCTGCGCTAACCACTATCTACCCTTCACTGAACAATCTTCCAAAGTCAGATCAGTTTTCTTTACCGACTATTTTCACCGAAAAAAAACTCGGCTAAGAATTTGCCTCCAGAGGAGTTTGACCTCCTGAACACGAAAGTGCTGCTCCTGCTTGTCACGAAAGCGGCAGGATTTTTCGTTACAGGCAAAATGCAGGCACCATATGCCTGTTTCGACCCGGTGTATTGCGAAATCTAAGCGGTTTCGTCGTGCTCAGCGGTATGCTTAGGGTAGTACATGAATCAACGCAATACTAGGCTGCACCCTTTCTGGAAGCCTGCGACACTGCCACTCCTCTTTTTACTAAGGCTGCCATCTTTAGCAGAGAAGGGATCGATTATCTCAGGAGAACGTTTGTACGCCCATAGCGAAGTCCGCCACTTAACCATGGAACGTTTGAATTAGACTAAATCGATAGACAGTCATAAGGTATTTAAACAAAATTAGATAGCAAAACTACAACCTGCACTTCACAAAGAAACTTATGAGCAGGTAAAGTTTATAATGGTGTAGCAGGGTGCAGGCTTGGTGGTGAGCTGCGAAGCATAAGCGAGAAATCGCATACGTCAAATCGAGTCGTCGAACGTCGAACCTTACCCCTGAAGCTCACCATCAAGTATCACACCATTACAAAATTTACCTGCTAAGATACTTGTGAAATGCAGGTTGCAGTTTTGCTATCTATATTTGTAAATAACCTTATAGACTCTATCGATCTACCCGGGTCTCCATTCAAAGTTCGATGGTAAGTTGGCGGACTTTCGTGGTTAGGAGCAGGCTGCGCTGCCACTTGTCCCCTCTCCTCACCGTTCCACCTTAACTCTCTTGTACACTGGCAGAACTGATATTCACTAGGTCCGGCTCAAGTTACCCCGGGCACAAGTTTTAAGAGCATCAAAAGTTCTGACTTGAGTATGAAAAACACATCTGTTCAACTTACCATAGACCATTCGTTCGTAACCAAATCACAGATGACTTGCATAACACCAGCTCCAATCAGTCGCACTGCACCAGAACGACAACATCGCGCGAAAGGAATTAGGCATCGTACTGCTCCATGCATACAACACGCTTGCGTGGCGTCCACTATTCTGAAAAGTGGTGGAATTAGTACGCGTAGATAAGGGGCAGTACTATTTTTGACACTGTACCACACGACTTGACTAATTCTATGACCGCCTCTTATCCCGAGAATGGTCATCCCAAGCAGGGAACTTCCTGATGCTGGGAAACACTTTGGAGAAACGACCCTCCCCCTCACCCAAGTTCCTGCTCTGGTGCAAACCCACCTTCTCCACCTTACAGCATTTTTATAACTTTCCCCTGCTTTCTATCATTTTCCAAAAGTTGTAAAAAAACAGTTGTTTGGTGGCGACTTCCTCTAATTACAACCTGGAATTCTCCAAAAGTTGTAAAAAAACAGTTGTTTGGTGGCGACTTCCTCTAATTACAAACTGGAATTCTCCTAACGAAATACTTAGCGAGAGAGGAAACATCAACTGTCAAAAAATGTTCCCAGACCAGATACAATCCCCCCCCCTTCACCGACAAAACACTAACCCCTGCTGGAAGATAATTCAACGAGCTCTTATCCCAAAGAACTATTGAAATACCAAAGGCAATATAGAGATCTAAGCCTCGACCGATATCAATACAAGCCCTGCTTACTTGATCTGTGTGACAATTCGATTGACAATATCCTGAGGTAGTGTCACTGAAGAATTTGGAAGCCGCTCCTCATCAAAATCTTCCAACCAGCTGCACAAAGCGTCGCCTACTAAACGCCACCAAGCACTACAAACGTCATCAGGACTCGAAAGCATCGTGTAGAACAGCTGAAATATGGAGTCCTTCTGGTCCACAGTTACACCAAAGTAGTCAGAAAACAATTTACCTGATAGTTAGACTCTGCAATGAGTTTGAAGAATTCTTGCCGAACATCCGCTGACAGACGAATGAGACCACGAATTGCATTCACAGACATTTCAAAAACACGAACCTCTCGCGACTCGTATGAAAGCCGCCACAAGGCGTTCCGGCAGTAATCGAAGAACATCTGAAACCACAAATAGTGAGCAAGGAGTCATTTCGTGGTGCGCCACGCTTGACTACTTTTTATAATTATTATTAATACTCCCTATTATTATTCGTTTGTTTGCGGCAGAGGTGATGGAGCGGCAAGTGGTACGCTTAGCGCGTGCGCGATCCGGGGGTCAAATCATGGATTAGCTACCGCCTATGCCAACAAAGCCTTCCACCCTCCGAGGCCTTCCCCCTCCCTCCGGGGACGGTAAACCGGTACCAGATCCGTCTGGGAGGATAAGAACAGCGACTGTCCATTGGCTGGCCTCCGTTGGTCATTGTATAGGCCAAATCGCCTTCAGCAAGCCACTACTAATCGGAATGAAAGTAGAATGCATGCCACATCGCAAATAAGGATGGATTAACGGCAAACAGCTTAACCTCATTTTTTATTTTTTCATAGAGTCTCATTTTTTGTTTTCCTCCTGTTAACCATGCCACTTTTATTGTTTTGAAGAGTTTCAAATTGTATATTTCTTCTTTGCCCCCTTTACCTTGTGTTAAGGCGGAGGTGGTGTAGTGACAAGTGGCGCGCTTACCACTCGCGCGGCCCTGGGTTCAAATCCCGGGTCGACTCTCGCCCAGGCCAACCAAGCCTTCTACCTTCGGTAAACTGGTACCAAATTCGTCTGAGGAGGATAACAGCACTGACTTGTACATCGGCTGGCCCCGCAAGTCATTGTATAGGCCACATCGCATTCAATAAGCCACTACGATTCTGAATGGAAGTAGAATGCGTGCCGCATCCCACAAAGGGATTGATCAACGGCGAAGACTTTATCCTTTTTTTGATCCTCAGTTTTCCTCGGGTTACCTGATTTGAGCTGAGATGTCTTGTTGGATAGGACACCACATGTGCTTGCGCATGTAATGAAAGAAGTAAAGCCTTCTCCGTTAATCAATTCTTTTTCTGGGATGCGGCACGCATTCAACTTCCATTCAGAATCGTAGCAGCATATGGAATGCGAGATGACCTACACAATGACTTGCGGAGACCACCCAACGTGCAGTCACTGTTTTCATCGTCTCAGACGAATCTACTACCGATTCCCCGTCCCCAGAGGATAGAAGACTTGGTTGGCCTGAGCGGGAGCCGATTCGGGATTTGACCCCTGACCGCGCGCGCGGTAAGCGTGCCACTTGCCACTACACCACTTTCGCCCCATGAATAGGATTTAAAAAGAAACAATATCTGACCTTGAACACTAGTACAGCCATTTTCACGTGCTCCTCACTTTTGAGATCTTCTTCAGATTCCATATCGGAAACGAAATTTGTTACAGCCTTCGCAAGCGCGTAGCCATAAGATGGGGAAAACAAATCGCGTTCCTAAATATCCAACAATTAAATATTTAGATGACTCCAAGCCTATCGCTCGAGCTTTACCTTGAGGAATAGCATGTTCTCATCTTCCACAGCAAGAAGCAAATTGATTGGTGGACAAGTTGCATTTTCTGCCGCAGTTACATCAACAGCTCTGAGAAATGGGCATTTCCTCGTTGCTTTTCGGAACTGATGAACACTTTTGACCAAACTACCTGGTCTCCTTCTTCTCATAAAATAAAACATATGCACTGTAAGATCGAAGACGTTCTTTGGGGAGGTCTCGGGAAGAAAAAGCTGCATTAGCTGAAAT